TTTAAAAACTGATGGAAATGAAAGGGAAAATAGACAAATCCACAATTATAGTTGAAGATGGAACAAGTAGACAAAAAATAAACAAGGATATAGAATAGAACTGAATCTAGCTGACTGATACAATCAACTGAATCTAACTGACATTTATAGAACACTCTTCTCACTGCAGCAGAATACATATTTCTGACAAGTGCACATGAAACATTTACCAAGATAGACTACATACTGAGTTATAAAACAAATATTAACAAATTTAAAATCATACAAAATATGTTCTCTAACCATATGGAATTAAAGTAGAAATCAGTAGCAGAAATACATTTGGAAATCCTCAAATTCTTGGAAATTAAACAACACACTTCTAAATAATTTCATGTGTCAAATAGGATCTCATGGGGAAGTCAGATACTTTTTGAAAATTAGAATATAAGATTTCAAATTTTATAAAATGCTGTTACAGCAATGCTCAGAGGGAAATTTGTAGCATTAAATGCTTACATTAGAGACTTCTATTTCTTGTCAAGATGGAGTAACAAACAGGGCTTGAAACATCAAAAAATTGAAAAAAGTGTGGGATTTAAATTGTTTATTCGTAGTGAAAAAAATCACATATCTTATCTAAATTATATAATCTGTTTATATATCAGGAAATTGAGGTATAAACATATTTAACATTATGGCAAAAGAATTAGTAGAAGAAATGGTTTTAAAAATTAAATCTGGAGATTAGTACTAGGAATAAGGAGAGATGGGACAAGAGATTTTATTTTTCATCATGTTTCTTTTCTCTGACCTATTTTGATTATTACTATGTTGATGTATTTATTTGATGAAGGTCAAACCAAACACAGCATTTGCCATTGTTATGAGCAACTTTTAAAAACATATTTTTTGAAATGTAACAAATATGCTGTAAAGTGCACAAATCTTAAATGTACAGATCAAGATCAAATTCTAACACTCCAGAAAGTTCCCTTGAGTTCTCTCCCAGTCAGCACCCCAAAGACGACCACTATTCTGGCTTCCGTCACCGTAGATTCGTCTCACTTGTTTTGAAAATCATATACCTGGAATCATATAGTATGCATTCTTTTGTTTCTGGATTTTTTTTTTCTTTCTCAATATTATATCTGTGAGATTAACTCATGTTGTTGTGTGTAGCAGCTGCCAGGTAGTATTCCACTGTATGAATATACCAAAATTCTTATGTTTTGTTGATGGACATTAATTTGTTTATACTTTGAGACTATTATAAATAAAGCTACTATAATAAAAAAAATTGAACAAAATGTATAAAACGATGTTTTCAAGACATTGGGCATCAAGATGAGTTCTTCACTTGCCCCAGCTTAAGGCCTTGAGAGAGTTCCCAGGCTATGAAACAGTGAAGAGGGAAATACCAGTAGAGTCCAGCAAAATCCCTGAGTTGAAGAGATGGAGCTGACAGGAGAGACCAAGGTGGCTGGAATTTGCAAGGCAGAATATCAGTGATGAGAGAGCTGCATTCATATAGAATTTCAGAGATCAGATAGGGTCCCCCTCTTTGTATTCAGCTGAGTCTTAATAAATGTATGCCTGTGGGGAAACTATCCAAGCTTGGGGAAAGAACCAACTGAAATAATTAGGAAACAGAACTCAAGAGTTCACACAGGGATGGGAATAGTACCTGTTCTAATCAGTCAGAATGAAAAACCTCATATCTTGGGGTGCTGGGTAGAGTACTTAGAAGTGTCTTGCTTCAGTACTAAGGAATAAATATTTCTAGACTGCTTCTCCGGTCCTACCTAACAAATATTGAAAGCAACACTCAAAAAGATCCAACCACTTCCAAGTAGCTTAAAAACAAAACTCAAGAATATTTATGAAAATACAAATATATCCAGCATGCAAATAAGTAAAAGTCACAATTTCTGGCTTCCAATAAAAAATACCAGACATGTAAAGAAGCAGGAAAATATGATCAATAATGAAGAGAAAAATCAGTCAATCAAAACAACCCAAACTGACACAGATGTTAGAATTAGCAGACAAGGACATTAAAAGAGTTATCATAACTGTATTTCCTATATTCAAAAATCTAGAGGAAAATATGAACATGTAGAGATATTAAAGATATTTTGTATAAAAATACTCAAATTGAGCTTCTAGAGATGAAAACCATGATTTCTGAGATGAAAAAAAAGACACTGAATTACCAGAAGGTTAGAGATTACAGAAGAAAGCATCACTGAATATGAAGATATAACAGTAGAAACTATACAAAATGAAATACAGGGAGAAAAAAGGCAAAAAAAAAAAAAAAAAAAAAGAATCAAAAGAGCATCAGTGAGCTGTGGGGCAATTTCCAACAGCCTAATATACATGTAGGGGAAGAGGGATAGAAGTCTTTGAAAAATTAACAGCCAAAATTTTCCAAATTTCATTAAAACTAAAGACTAAAGATCCAAGAAACTCAGTAAACCCAAGCACAAGAAACATGAAGAAAAACTATACCAAGGCACATAATAATCAAATTTCTCAAATCCAGTGATAAAGAGAAAAACCTTAAAAGCAGCCAGAGGAAGAGTATATGTTTCATACAAAAGAACAAAGATAAGGATTTCATCAGATTTCTTATTGGAAACAATGCAACTGAGAAGACAGTGAACCAACATCTTACAAAAAAAAAAAAAAAATGTTTTTAACTAGAATTCTGTAGCCATGAAAATATCTTTAAAAAATGAGGGCAAAATAAAGACATTTTCAGACACACAAAATTGAGATAATTCATCACAAGCATACCCACACGGGAAGAAATTTGTTAAAGTGAGTCCTGCAAGCAGAAGAAAAATGGTACAAGATGGAAATATGAAGTGAAAAATCCTTGGAAATGGTAACGACAAGGTTACATATACAAGATTTTTTAAATTATTGTTTGAATATCTTTATAATGTAAGTGATTGTTTAAAAC